TAAAGACATTCCTTTTGAAAATCTAGAAATTAGTACTTTCATGCACATTGTAGAATTGTTTAGACGAGTAATAATGTATGTAACCAAGTACACTTTATCGTACAAACTCGGCTTCCCTATTTCCCCATGACTGTCTGATGAACCTCAGGGCAGGTAGGACACTTTTGACAAGGTGAGGAAAAGGCAGAGGTTTTTAAAACTTCACTTGAGTTTTCAACAGAATCAACATTTTTCTTTTTTGGTTAAGCAACATAATCAACCTTGGATGGCCTAAAAAGAAGTAAAGCTAAGACCCAAATGAAGCATAGCTTGTGAAATTTTGTCTTAGTACAACATAATAATTGTTGTTTTATGTCAAATTCTTACCAATACGGAATGGCTATTCATATCATGGTCCTGTCCACCGGATAGCTTCCTAGCACTCGCAAGAAAGTAGCAAACTCCTGCAAAAGAAATATATATTGTTTTTATAAACAAGCGTACATATTTGTTTCAATGCACATGTTGACAAATTTAACGGAAAGCATACATTCAGATGCCTGAGAGCATTCTGTGCTCTCTGGTCAGCCATTGACGCTTCAAAGTCCACATAAAACAGATAGTCAAAATATCTGCGAAAGAAAATAAAAAAACATGAACAGGCAAAATGTCAGTACCAGCCAAATAATTGCTAAATAAAATAGAACTGCATTGTTGAAACTGAAATATTGGTTGTATATATATACTTGAAAATCAGAATATAGCTATTAACTAAAATTACTTTTGCCCATTGTTATCATCAGATGTTCGCAAGGGCTGATTTCTCAAGGGACGACTTTCAATCTGGTCAAGAGAACCACATAAAAAGGCTATTGATAAAGCAGCCTCGAAAAAGAGTGTAGATGTGGTAAAAGAGAAGAGTTCCAGGAAGAGAAGTCTGAACCTTGGTGAGGTTGATTTGCCTCAGGGCAAACACAGCAAGTGCCTTGAAAAGCACCCCAGGACCTTCTTCCAATGAGAAAACTATACTCGTCTATGATCAATAATATCCATCAGAAAGTTGTTATAATTTAAGAATAATACCAAATAATTTGGGCTGCAAGCAATTTTTCGATCACATAAGTGCAAACCTTGAATGGTCTATCTATACCAGGAATAATGGGTTCCCTGGCCAGCATTAGAAACCGGGTGATATTGTCACAATCATCCTGTTCAAAGTAATGCAAACATGAATCCAAAACCTCCTTAAATTCATCAACACCAGAAAGAAGGAAGCATTAGATATGTATGTACCTGAATGTCTTCAGCAAGTATGTTCAAGCCATAT